TGAGTATCCTCACAGCATGGCAGATGACATTTCCAGAGTGGGAGATCCAAAAGACAAAGGCAGAAAGTTTGATGCCTTTTATAGCTTAGTTGTGGAAATCCCACGCTATCCTTCCTGCTGTACTCCACTGGTCCTGTAGTGGAGTTCAGAAACAGGCTGGTCAAGAGGCAGTTGGATAAAGATGAATACAGGGAAAGCAATGCCCACATTTAGGAGTCTGTAGTCCCTTTGGGACTGCTCACAGACACTTTATGTAATCACATTTCACATATATGGTTCCAAAAAATAAAGCAGTATTTAGAATAGCTTTAAGACTTTTAAACCTGCCTTGTTTTAGGTTCCAAAGATTTTTTCAATTTAGCATAAAATACATGAAACGTGATTTTCTTAGAATGGTCCTAGAAGTAGTATGCTTAATAAAAAAGATACTTTATTAACAGTAAGATGAAGGGATAAAATAAAAATTCAAGTTAGGATATCATGTGGTTAAATAGAATTTTAAAGATATTTAAAAATTTTATGATATAAAGAAGTACAGATCTTGAAAGTTGTATTACTTTTGTATATCTTCTTTCAGTTAGGACAGATAAAACAGGTGATTATAAGTTGCTTGTAACAACTCTTTTAAAGTAGTCACTGTCATCCTTACCAAATAGAAAGCAACTCCAGATTCCGAAAAACATAAGATCTATCTAGGAACAGAAAAATGTTCCTAATCATGAACTGTCAAAAATAAAACAAAGATAAAGCATTTACGAACAATAGATTTTTTAATTAAATTATTGACCATTTTACAAAACCTTATTCTTAAGAAAAACACATTACTTTCTGAATTTTTATATATTCTTATCAGTTGCCAAATCAAACATGGGCAATAATACATTTCTTTGTCTTGGAAAGTTGACTTCACAGTTTTCATTCATTTCCAACATTATTTGTTCTAAATCCCTCCTTAAATCATAAACATTATCAGAGATTTATGAAGAAAGTTTATTCACATAAAGATTATGTTTTACATAAAATCTACTGATATTCAACAGTGCTAATATAGTTTGCCTAACAAATAAATCGTGGAAAAACTATGAGCACAAGTTTAGACGACCGAAAAATGTAAAGAGAAATCTGCAATCTAGAATTGTAGATAGTAAAAACAAGAAGAAATATAAATTCACTACCAATGCAAAGAATGTACAAACATAAGCTCCTGTAGCTTGTATTTGAAGACAGAATATTTAAAATGACAATCTTATTAGGACTTATTATGAATCCTTATTATGAATATATTGATTATATATAAGTTAATTGTAATTTAAACATACTCTACAACAGTAGTCCTCAAATGTTCCTACCTCAAGACCCCTTTTACCTTTAAAAATCATGGGAGGAAGAATAATGCCTGATGATTTTGTTGTCCAACTGTATTCCCAGTTTCTGAATAGCATCTGGAATATATTTGTTTTACTGAGACATCCTCCTTGCTGGGAACCCAAGTGCTAATTGCTTCAGTCTTCCGCAGAATGCTTGAAACTAATACAGCCACTGTGGAAGGCATTTTATGTATTTGTGGTGTACTTCAGGCTGTGGGCTGAGAACTGCTGGGAAGATATTTCAACATTATTTAAAATGAATTTTCCTATATATTGCTTTCTGTGTCTGTAAGTAAACATTCTCACTTTCAAGACAACCATGTTTGTACTAAGAGCCAGCTTTGCATTCAAATAGACTTACTTTTTTATTGAAGAAATGTTGATATACAATCTATTTTTTTAATTTTGATATCATTAATGTACAATCACATAAACAACATTGTGGTCACTAGATTTTCCCCATTAACAAGTCCCCCCCACATACCCCATGACAGTCACTGTCTATCAGCATAGTAAGATGCTACAGACTCACACTACTTGTCTTCTCTGTGCTATACTGCCTTCCCTGTGCCCCACCCCCACATTATGTGTGCTACTCTGATATACAATCTTGTATTTGTTTCAGGTGTACAACACAGTGGTTCAACAGTGGTTCCCCATATTATTAAATCTTCACCCCCTCTAATGTGATCACTATCTATCAACATACAAGTATGTTATAGAGTCATTAATTATATTTTCCATTCTGTACTGACATCCCCATGACCAACTTACATTGTGATTGCAAGTTATTGTGCCCCTTTACCTCCCTCTGCCGCCACCCTCCTCACCCCTCCCTCTTGGTAACCACTAGTCACTTCTCAGTGTCTATGAGTCTCCTGCTGTTTTGTTCTTTTTCTTTTTCTTTGTATTTATATTCCACAAATAATTGAAATCATGTGCTATTTGTCTTTCTCCACCTGGCTCATTTCACTGAGCATAATACCCTCTAGATCCATCCACGTTGTTGCAAATGGCAGGATTTATTTTCTTTTTATGGCTGAATAATATTCCATTGTGTATATGTACTACATCTCCTTTATCCATTCATCTACTGATGGATACTTAAGTTGCTTCCATATCTTGACTACTGAAAATAGTGCTGTGATAAACTTAGGGGTTCATATGTCTTTTTGAATCAGGGATTTTGTTTGCTTAAATTCCTAGGGGTGGAATTACTGGGTCCTATGGTATTTCTATTTTTAGTGTTTTGAAGAACTTCCATACAGCTTTCCACAGTGGTTGCATGAATTTACATTCCCACCAACAGATAGGAGGGTTCCCATTTCTCTGCATCCTCACCAACATTTATTATTTCTTGCAGATAGGACATTATTTAAAACATTTCAAATATGTGCTCCTCCCATGTGAAAACAGTACTAAAACATTAGTGACTTTCCCAAAGTCCCTGGGCCAGGGAGTGGCAGAAACAGGACTCAACCCAGGCTTTCTGATTCTATGCTGTATTCTTCCCAGGAAAATAGACAAATGACTGTTTCTCTTAAGAGACAAAACAGGGCAAGAAGAAACACACAACTTTTACACTTCATTTACACTAAAACCTGGACAATGGGGTATCTGTTCCAATCACCCTGTTCTCTGGGTGGGGAAACTGAGGCCCAAATGGCCCCCAAAGGTTCACAACACAGTAAGGGGGAAGAAGTGCCCAGAACAAAACATCTACTAGAAACATAATGCCAACCTCAAGGCCAGCCATATTTGTAATTTTAAATTTTCTACCAGTGCCATACAGTGGAAGTAGTAAGAAGTAGAGGAAGCTAACTTTTAATAATGTATATAAGCGATCCAGTACATTAAAAACATTATCATTTCAACATGTGATTAATAAATACATTATTCATGGTACTTTGCATTCTTTCTGTCACACCAAATCTTCATGACCCTGCATGTATTTTATATTTACAACATGCCTCCGTTCAGGCTAGCCATGGTTTAAGTTCTCCACAGCTGCCTATGGCCAGTGGTTGCCTTTCTTGATGGCACAGGACCTGGTCAGCCCTTAAGCCTCAACTGCACACTGCCTCCCAGACTTACATGGCATTGGAATTTGTAAAATAATCATCTTAAAGAGCTGGAACTCTTTTTGAATTACTGTAGGTGGAAGAAGGCCAGCGTACCAACCAGCTGGGAGGTGTATTTCGTTGGTGGAAGATGTTTTAAATTATACCTCCTCTCCAAGTAATGCAAATCAGTCGTGAAAACTAGATCATAAATTTCATGGGAGGACATGATATTTAAAATATTGTGATCTGAAGATAAAGGTGACTAATACACTTTTGACATCATGCTTCCAGGATTTCTGACTTTCATTCTTCAAGTTAATTTCAATTATGGTAACATTCCACTGAAGCTCCCCTCTCGGTGCCCCCCCCCATCCTTTCCCACCCAAGGAGCAGCGTGTGGGTCCTTATAATGTGGTCGTAGAGGGGTGGCCTGCCCCACCCCTCTGCTTAAATCCCTTATAGTGACGTCAGGTCGGTCTTTTCTAAAATATCCTGAATACAACACCAGTTCTGTGGGATGTGGTTAATGACTCCCCAGGGAAAAAGAGTTTGGGCAGTACTGGGTAATTGCATCAGTTATGCTAGGATTTGGCTGCATGGGGTTAAGTTGGTTCACAGTTTAACCAGGCAGGAATCGTCCTCTTGCGTCACAGAAGCTCCAGAGCCAGGCCAGGGCTGCTGCGGCGCCTCCACGTTCCCACCCGCACCCAGGCCCTCCCCTTCCCCTCTTGTGCCTGCGGCTGGTACCCCTAATGCGCATGCTGGTTGCCTTGAATTTGCACAATGGCTCCCCCAAGTACTATATTCTAGGCTCAGAGAAGAAAGGAGGGAGGGAAGGAAGGACATTTGGAGGAAGGGAGGGAGGTTGGAATGCAAGGATGGAGGCGAGGAAAGGAGGAGAGGTGCCTCCATGTGGAAAACCAGCTTCCCCCGGATACTCCAGGAGTCTCCTGCTTAGGTCTCATCAGCCAGAAGGATGGGCCATGGCTGCACGTGCGTCAATGGGGTGAGGAAGAGGAATGTTCTAACAGGGCCCTTTATGGCCGTGAACCAAGTCAACCCTTCTCGTCCTGAGCATGCAGGTGGAAATGGAACCTCGGATGCTCAGTATCGCCATATGGGGTCCAAAGTTTTCTCAGATCTTGTAATTTAAGATTTTGTTTGCTGCATGTCAAATGGCAGTGGGGGGTAGGGGGACAGTAATCACTTTTTTCCACATAAAATCTTCATTTTTCATGAAGGAAGTTGAAGAACTATTGTTCTGGAAATAAGCTCTGGGCAAAGTTGAATTACTATGTAATTCTGGGTAAGCCATGTCGTACAATATGGGTTTGTGGAAGACCCTGGCGTCTGGCGAGTCCTGCTGTCTCTCTTGCCCTCTTTCTCCCTGGCCAGTTTGTGCTTGCCCAGCCTTGCAGGTGGCTAAAGTTGGTCTCATAACCTCTCTTTGGGCAATTAGACATACATGGAAATGCTCTAGGAGCTTCCAAGGTAAGTTGTTGCTTTCTTGATGAAAGCTATCGACACTGTAGATGCTGACCCCTTTCCTCTACTTCTGCCTTGAACACAGATGCTGTGCCTGGAGTGACGGTGACCATCTGGCAAAACTGAGTGCAAGTCCCAGAGAATTCCAGAAACACGTGTCATTCTGTTTGTGTGAGCCACTCCCAGCCCCAGAGGCATGTTACACCAGAAATAAGTCTCTATTAGCTTCAGACGCAGGCCTCCACATGACATGAAGATGTTGTTAAGAGCTTGCCTCACAACCTCTGCCTCATCTCCTGGCATCTGGAGCGCAGGCACCTGGAGCTTCGCCACATGGCTCAGGCATCTATAGGGTATGTCAGACAGCCGGACGTCAGGCATCTGGATCCTGGGCATCTAGACCTCGGATATCTGGACCTCGGGCACCCGAGCCTCGGGCATTTGGACCTCAGGCACCTGTACAGCACTTCAGGCGTGCAGACCTCAGTAATCAGGACCTCCGGCCCTGGACCCGGGTATGCGTGCGGGACCTCAGGCATCTGAACGGTACAGTAGGCTCCCGGCCCGCCTGGTGCGCTTGCGGCCCCCCCCAGCCAGCGTGCGGCCCCGCAGGCTCCCGCGTGCCCATCCTTCCAGAGCTTTCGGCTCAGGCACACGGTGGCAGCGCGGGAGGGTCGGACCCCGGAGGCTGCGGAGAGGCCGCAGCCACCCGGGGCCGCGGGCGGAGGGCGCCCGGAGGAGGCGCGCAGGCCGGCGGAGGAGGTGCGGGGCGCGGGATGGGGACCCCCGAGGGGCGCCGCACTGCTCACAGCGGCCCTCCCGCCTCGCGGACGGCGGGCGCCGGCAGGACTGGCCGCCAGGGGGCGTCTGCGTGACGGCGCCGGGGCTGCCGCGCACGTTCGGCGCCGCTCCGCGTCGTGGTTCCAGTTCCGGCCTGCGGAGGCCTGCGCGCCCCAAGCCCGTCCTGTCTGAGGGGTGCACGCTCCCTCCCCGGCCACTGCCGGAATCCTGCCCCGAGCCGAGTGGCTCCCCGGGACCGACAGCCCCGCCGTGTGCTCGACTCCAGGCCCCTGTGTTGCTGGGAACCTGGCTGCTCCCGCCACTCCCGGGACTGGGTCGCCCTCCCTCTTGCGCGGCCTCCTCACGTCCGCAGGGCCCGGTGTTTGCCGTGCCCCTTAGGGCGCTGCTGTCGGGGCCGGTGGCCATCCTCCTGTCCGGTGAACCAGTCTCCAGGCCCTAGACTCCGTCCCGACCCATCTTCCGCTGAAGTTCCAGCATGTCCGTGGGTTTGGACAATTGTCTCGTTCTCTGGGAAGTGACGGGGCCGCCAGCCTCCAAGATGCTGTCCTTCCTGACTCACTGCCTTGCCCAGTTCCCTCCAGCTTGATGAGGCTGGTGGGACCATAGTATAACTAGTAGGATATTATGGAAATGGTGACGGGTGACTTTGGACCATAGGGCATAAAAGGCATTGCCACTTGCCCCTCGGTTCCTCTTCAGTTCCTGCTCTGGGGAAAATGGTTGTGACGTCATGGAAACAGTTAAGCAGCCGCGTGCAGGGGTCTTTGTACTGAAAAACTGCGCGCACCGGATTGCCAGCCTTGTCCACACCCAGTGTGGCATTCGGTCCTCCCGCCCCAGTCAGCCTTCCCATGACGGCACCTCTCACTGAACTGACCTCTCGACTGCAACCTCATGGGAGACCTTGAACCAAAACCACCCAGGTAAGCTCTTCCCACATTGCTGACACATACAGACTCTGGGAAGTACTGGTCATAGTTATTTTACACTATTAAAGTTTTCATGCAATTTGTTCCACAGCAGTAGATAACTAATACATAATACCAGGGTCCAGCCATGGCCACTGGAAATCCCTATAAAGTTCACTGCCCTTGTGCTGGGCTGTGGCAATGTTTGTGCTACCACAGTGCCCGTAATAATATTCCCCGTTTGTGGCATAAATACTTTTCAGTACTTATTACGTCCTTATACTTAAGTACTTTTTGGTACTTACTAATTTTCAAAAATCAGAAATGGCATGGGAATTCAAAGAAAGGTAAATAAGATGTAAATATGTAGTGGGTATAAAAAATGCAGTTGAATTTTAAAAATTGAGAATGTCAGCTCTCAGGAGGATCAAGGGGCCAACGCTTGGCCGCTGAATTTATGTGGGACTCTGAATCGGTACCGGAGGCTGCTGTATAATTGAGTATTATGTCTCCTTCATCCTGCTGTGGACTTTCAAAGGCTTCTTTCCTTTACACTTGCAAAGAGAATATTAGAGCCCTGTCCAGGAGCCAAATGAAGACATACAGGTGGTAGGTGATTTCATGCAAATTTCATGTGAATTTTCATCTCCAAGCAATGGAGGTTTTGCAAGTAATTTATATGAGCGAGGGGTTGAGTGAGTGAGCATCAGCCTAGCTCAGTGGGGCCCTGACTGGTGCCTCCTCCCTTCTGTTTTTGTCGTGATTATGAGATACGGTTATAGTGCATTGAATAATTGGATTATTAAATACGGACATGGTTTTTAAGGTACAAATAGCACATGTTGCAATGAAATTAGAAACTGAGCCCAGTGAATCTCAGGTAATATATGATCTAATCCAGTCATAGGGAGTTAGCTGGCACATCCACTTCATATGATTAAAACAAAAGTGGAGCCTTTTAATACACCAATATTACTCTAAATTTTTATCTATGCAATTAGCACAAAATATCTTTTCATTGCAGTTATTCTTAAAATATTGATGCATTGTTCCCCAGGCAGACAAGACTAAATTGAAATGCAGTCTTTCCTGTCATTCTGAAATGAAATATTATAAAAACAGTGTGTCACCCAGAAGGATTTCTTTCTCTCTCTCTCACACCCACCCCCACCCCGACCCCCACCCCCACACATACATGCAAGCACGTGCCCCTGGTGATTTTGAATACAATGCTTCCGTACTTGGCTTTCCTTTTCTTCCTATTGATGACAGTTTAGCGATTTAATGTTAACTCCTATTGAACACTCTAACATTCGTCATACTAACTTTTGAACATGTGGAACAAAAATAGCATTAAAATTGACTTGTAACTCTTTGTAGAATAATGGTGTTAGACATCAGGACTTGATGGATGGAATTCAGTTTGGGTTAAAACCATACCAGTAAACAAAGACTATCTTTCTATTTTAAACTTTTCATTCTGGAAATTAGGTTTCATTTATGCGCCGATTTGTTCTGATAACTTAAAAAAAACAGAGATGAGGAGCAGAAGCCCTTCAGAAGCCACTGCTTAGCTGTCTCCCAGGGGACCTTGCCTTGCCCCTCATCTCCTGTTTAGACGTTGCACATCCAGGCCACATTTTGATTTAAAGATGTTTGCCAAGTACCCAGACAGTCGGAAGACCGGGAGACCGTTGGTAGGTTCGTGGTGTCACTTTACAGAAAACACAGTGGTGTTTTTTTGAGAATACATTTATAGAAGAGTAAAGACATAAAGAGAGGAGAAAGGCAATTTGCTTGTGAGGGTTTTGATCCCTTTGCATATCCAGAAAGCATTGAATGAACTCTCTGTCCNTAAAAGATTAACTGAGGCATTTAACAATTTTTAGAGTTTATTTAAGCAAAAAGGGATTCCAATCAGGCAGCACTCGATTAGGAGTCCCACCCAGGTGGAGCTGGGGAGACTATAGAGAGGCAGAAGCCAAGCAGGGAAGTTACGGATGGCCTGTTGCTCTGGCCAAGTTGGCATTGAGTGGTTACCCTTAGGTTTTGCTTGGGTGACCTTGAGGCACTGACGGGCTTAGGTTTTGGTTTGCTACCAGGGGCCACCAGGGGAGCATTAGAGCCCCCTCCATCTAATGGCCTCCTTGCTTCATTAATTAAACAGTGTGCATGCATGTGTGAACATGGCCATGTGCACATGTGTGCAGGCATGCTCACATGTTTGTATGTGTGTATGCATGCATTTAGCTGTGTGTAGCACTGCATAGAGCATGTGTGTGGTTTGCATACATATGTGGAAATGCATTTTTGTTTGTGTGTTTCTGTTTACCATGGTCCCTAACCCATGGTAGCCTCTTCTGTACTTGGGTTTTTGTTTGTTTTCCCACTGTGCTGTTCACTCTAATGCTTGTGTGCAATCAGAAATGATTTTGAGGCCCCACACACTAGACTGCAGCTTCACGGAATTAATGGGTCAGGAGGAGCATACTGATTATAGAAGAGAGAGGTTATTTAAACCCAGCTCCTTAGCAATCAGGAAAAGGAGCAGGTCTGGGAACAGTCACATTCACTGCTCTAGATGGCTAGGGTGTCTGTTGCCTTGAGACCAGGCTGCAGTGCTCAGGTAACCAAAGATGCCCTGGGCTCCTGTGAAGGGCAGCAGCTTCCAGGACATGGCGGCTGCTGAGCCTTCTGTCACCAGGCCGTGCTTGGGTTTCAGACTGCTGTTCAGACAGAGGGGAGAGCATCGCATGGGTGCGTCAGACAAAAGCAACCCAGCTCCAGGCAGCTTCCGCCTATGTCCAGCTAAATGAAGACCAGCTAAAGCTCAAACACATTTCTGTTCCCTTTGCTTAGCCTTCTTTTTTTCCATTTCCTTTTTCTTAACCTTACCCTCTCCCTCTCCCTTTTCCCCACTCCATGTCTCCATCCTAGGTCTCCCTCTCTTTAAAAAATATCAAATGGCTATACAATCCCTTTTCTTCTCAGCAATCCTCGCTGCATCAGATGAAAATCTGGCATAGCATTTACCTTGATACATAACCACATATTTTCTGTGGCTGTAACATTTACTCCTTAAGCTATTGTTTTACTTCTCTCCTTATTTCCCCTCCACCCCTATTTTTTAATACTGTTCTTAATCATACAAGCACAATACACTTTCTATTTCTGCTTTGCATCCTCTGGGTCACAGAGGTGCTAACCTATGTATCTGGCTGAAATAGAGTCACAGAAACCAGCAGCAGTTTCGCTAAAGTGCTTTAAGGATTACACTTCCCTGACACGGATTTATAGAGGCAATTGTGTTACGTGAGTCATATGACAGGCTGGTAACAATAAGAAATGAGAGCCACCACATTTCCTGGGTGCTCTGCCTGCCGGCCAGTCCGGGTGCTCATTGCCACACTTCATTCTCAGCCCCCCATGATGACCCTATGCAGGTCCCCTCCATTCACTGAGCCTCCAGAACTCAGGAGGCTTCCTCTAGACCACATGGTAACCATGGAGCTGGGATTCTAACCTGGGCAGTCTGCCTCCCATCGAGTCTAAAGTGTCCAGCAGTAGCACAGGTATTAAAGGACATGTGCTTCAACAGGACCCCAGTGCGTGGGGTTAAGAGGCAGCATCTGAGGGTGCACTTGCAGCCCGGATCTCCAATCTACACACAGCTTATTTAGAGAAACTCCAGGCACTTCTGCAAAGATAGGAAAGTGGGGAGCTGTTAGAAAGCACATTCCAGGGCCCCAGCATGGACCTGCAGAATCAGGTGGGGCTGGTCTCTTGTGGATGAACCCTCCAGGGCTCTCTGGTTCCTGTGGGGCTGAAGAGGAACCCCACGGCTCTAGGGCCGACTCTACACCCTGTGCAGAGACTGAGGCTCTTCTTTCCTTCCATAATAGGATCCCAGCCTGGGGCCAGGGGGGTTGAGCAGACTGGAGAATGTAGGTTCCCCACCCATTGGACCATCCGTGCTTCAGCTATCTGCCGTCAAGATAACGTCTTGCCTTTGCATTGGACTCATCCATTATCAGTACTTTCATTCTGAAAGCGTACAAGCTTAGAAAGGTCTTCAGGGAGGACACTGATATTTCATCTCTACTACAACTTCACATTTACCTTGTCCACAGGAAATGGCACCTGCTGACTTAGCAATCTCCTCACCTCTGGAGGCTGATCTGTGGGCTTTAGATGCGCACAGAGGAGGCCAGGAGAAAGGACTCCTGGGTTCCTTCTCTCACGGCAGGGCCTCTCACAGGCTTTACTTCCACGGATGGCCTCTGGCGCAGTAGTGCCACCGCCTTTTCTTTATCCTCGTGTTAACTTCCAAGGGGCCCAAAGCTGCTAGCATTCTGTGGCCTCTTTTAGGCTATTCCAGTCTAATGAATTTCATGATTAGAAAGTAATTTCTTTCCCTAAAGCATCTTGAACCCAGCAACTATACTGGGAGAACATTGTTTCAGTTGCTGCTACCTCCCAGCTGAGACTTAAAACAAAAGAAACAATTTCATATAGTAATATTAGCAAATCTGTCTTCTCTCAGCCCTATCTCTATGCATTCTGAATTGCATTCTCTCTTCTCTGTACTGTTGACTTACTTGCAGGATTTTGCTGTGCAAAGTGTGGGAAATTATTTCACAGTTGCTTTGATCAGAGATCTGTTAAGGCAGTTAAATCATGCAGCATATTCAAAGTATGCTTTGTGAAGAGAAGACAAACAAGATCAAATTGTTACCATAAATCAAGTGCTTGAGTGCTGTCGGGAGTATTTTCAGGTAGATTTAAAAGGTAGTTTAAACTTAAGAAGGTCAGTGATGCTTGGGATCTGAAGCATGCCCGTTGTTCATTATTTCCACAATATTTTGCAGTCATATCTCTTAGGCATCATCTAACACCTAGATTCTGTAAAACCAAAATGAAGTTGCCATGACAACCAGCTGTGCCATTAATTCATTGTTATGAGTTAGCTTGGCTTAGGATCTTGGCTAAATTATGAAATGTTGGGTCTTTGTTTTAGCTGAAGACCATTTGGTAGTTTGCATTTCTTCCAGTTTCTGAATCTGGGCAGTGAATGTTGTCATCTTTCTCTTCCTTCCCATGAAAATGAGTAATGGCTTCATAGTAGAATTTGTAACTTTACAT